ATAGCTTCAAACTTTTTTCTCAGAAGTATATTTTGAGTATACAGTTTTATAGCCCATTCAATATTAGTGTAATAATGTGCAAGTTTCAAGTGGCTAAAAGTTACCGTTGATTTTTTAGAATTTTTTTTACCGAAGGTGTGTAGCGCTGCTACTGAATTTCAAAATACGTAAATATTTTAAGGAACTTTAAAAGAGAACTTAAAATCCGGAAAATAATAAGTAATATTGTAAATGAGGCACGAAAAAAGGAGGTACTTAGGCGGGTTGGGTAAATAAGCGGGGAGGTACTTAAGAGAGGGATTTTCTTCAGATTATATTAAAAAATTCACGGTGTCCAAAAATGTTGGTTACTTAAGCGGTTAGGTACTTAAGCGGGGGGGTACTTAAGCGGGTTTCACTGTACTTTAAAATGAATTTGGGTTACACAACTTCAAAGCCAGTATGTTTCTTTTGAATACGCTTGCGCTCTGGACTTCACTGATGCTTTTTCATACTTCCAAAACACAAATCGTTTCTTTGAGTAAAAAAAGTATCGAAATTCGAAACATTTACTCATTGCATTTGTTTTAAAGTACTCTTTCAATTAGTTGATCAGATAGTTGGTTTCCGTCAGGGTAAAGTGGGAAAGCTATTTTATTACTTCACCTGTTTATTGCGTCATGATTCCATGCAAACATTTTAAGGTTTCCAGCAATGTTTTCAACATATTAAAGAGCGTGCTGATAAAATTCACACAAAAGCGCTATGTCCAATTTTCCGAGCAGTTATTAAAGACACTTTCCCTATATTTTGTTAGACTTTTCATAAATAAAAATATTTTGTGAATATTACTTTATTCATATATCACATTTTTTGTTTAATTGTATTTTTGTAATAAACAAAGTTCCTTTTCCTTCTGTCAGTAAACTGTTTTTGTTACAAATAGTATAAATAAGCAATGGGAAATAAGCAAAAAATGGTTTTATTTCCAACGTCAGATTTTGGTATTATTTCCCATTTAAAAGTGAAATCAAGCAAATTTTGCGTTACCGCCATTTGTGGTGTGATGTGTTCCACGCCTATGGGATGTGCCACGCCCCTTTTTTACAAAGCCATTTATATATACCTTACTATATAAAAAATTTGACTATAAGGCAGCCGAATGTCAGAAAATAAAGCGAGAAAGCTGCTTTATTACTTCACCTGTTTATTGCATCATGATTCCATGCAAACACTTTAAGGTTTTCCAGCAATGTTTTCAACTTATTAAAGAGCGTGCAGATAAAAATCACACAAAAGCGCTATGTCCAATTTGCCGAGCAGTTATTAAAGACACTTTCCCTATATTTTGTTAGACTTTTCATAAGTAAAAAGGTTTTGTGAACATTATATTATTCATATGAATTATATCACCCTTTTTGTTTAATTGTATATTTGAAAAATAAAAATATCTTGTGAATATTACTGTACTCATATGAATTATATCACATCTTATGTTTAATTGTATTTTTGAAATAAACAAAGTTCCTTTTGCTTCTGTCAGTAAACTGTTTTTGCTACAAATAGTATAAATAAGCAATGGGAAATAAGCCAAAATTGGTTTTATTTCCCACTTATGTTGGAAATATTGCAAAACTCAGATTTTGGTATTATTTCCGATTTAAAAGTGAAAAAAAAGCAAATTTTGCGTTATTGCCATTTGTGGTATTTTTTATTTTTTATTTTCTATTTTTTATTTTATTTTTATTTTTTATAAATCAATTTTTTTGTTTAGGCTGTTTATTGTAACATTTAAATTTAATAAAAAAAGTATTTTTGTTTACTTTCTTTGTTTTTATAGCACAAACATTTCTTCCTAAATGTTTTTTTGCAATGCAATTAGATTTTTAAATTTGTTGTTTATTTATAAATTGAATAAATTATTTTTACTTACATTTATTTAACTTTAAAAATCTTAACCACCTCCAAGCGGCCCCGAACCTGCGATTTCAGAACCAGAACCAGTAGTCTTCACGTGACGCCACAGCCGACATTTGTAAGAAAAGCAATTAATTGCGTTTTATTTTTGGCTTTGGCAATTCAAAGGCAGATGTCGCTGATCGCCTAAGTTCTTCGAAATTGTCGAACTGGTAGGCACATACTAGTTAATGAACTAGTATTTTTTCTAACTGGTTTGGCTTTTCACTGCAGGGTATAGCCTACTATAAGCACCTACCGTACATATGTCTGCATACCTAATTTCAATTTCATGTGACATGGTTTTGAAATTTTAGCTGAAAAAAATTTCCACGCCTATGGGATGTGCCACGCCCCCTTTTACAAACCCATTTATATATATCTTACTATAAGCACCTACCATTTATATGACTGCGTACCACATTTCAAGTTCATCTGACATATGGTCCCGAAGCTATAGCTGATATAAATTTCCACGAATATGGGATTTGCCACGCCATCTTTTGCAAACTCATTTATATTTATCTTTATATAAGCACCTACCATAGCTATAACAAATTTCAAGTTCGTGCAACTTATGGTTCCGAAGTTATACCTGATAAAAAATTCCACGCCTATGGGATGTCCCACGCCCCCTTTTACAAACTCGTTTATATATACACTCCTATAAGTACCTACAATTGATTTCTCTGCATACCTAATTCCAATTTCATGTGACATATGGTTCCGAAGTTATAGCTGATAAAAAATTCCACGCCTATGGGATTATCACGCCCCCTTTTACAAACTCATTTATATATACCCTACCATTGATATGTCTGCATACCAAATAAGCACCTACCGTTGATATGTCTGCATACCAAATTTCAAGTTCGTCGGACTTATGGTTATAGCAGATAAAAAATTCCACGTCTGTTGGATGTGCCACGCCCTTTTTTCCAAATTCATGTATATATACCGTGGTATAAGTACCTACCATTAAAATGGCTGCATAGCAAATTTCAAGTTCATGTGACTTATACTTCCGGAGTTATAGCTGATAAAGCAGTCCATGCCCCACCCCTTTTACAAAGTCATTTATATATACCCTACTATAAGCACCTACCAAATTTCAAGTTCGTGGGGCTTATGGTTCCGAAGTTATGGCTGATTAAAAATTTCACGCCTAAGGGAGGTGCCACGCCCAACCAATGTCATTTTTGTTTAATATTACAATGCCATGGTTGATATTTTCAACAATGATTTGGTAATATTACCCTCACTTTTGTTTACATTAAACAAATTTTTGATTACTGGTCTTTTCGTTTGAATACGCTTATGCTTTTTCATAATTCGAAGATACAAAACCAAATTTGTTTGAAGTGAAACTTCTTTAGCGGCGGTTGGTTGGCTGGGAGTAAATTGGCAAATTCAATGGAAATTGCACACGGGAATGGTGGAAATGGTTGGGACGGAAACAAGTACTTCTGGAATGTATGTTATTAATTTAACAAAAACACTTAGAAAAAGACCAATACAAGAATGAAAGTAAAGGTGAGTACGTACATAAAGATAAAGAAAAGGATAAAGGCAAAAATAAAAATAAAAAC